TCTAGTTGGGAAGTGAAGTAGACTTCAATTGTGATGTGAGTTCAGACTCGGGAAGATTAAGTGATAGCGTGATGTTTATGACGGTGGAAGGGTATAAAGAGATATTAGTTTGAGGCAAAGCAAGTAGGTTATCTCCTGCGGAATGTTCTGAAGTTGTGTGATCCTTATATTGTTTGTTGGAAGACCTCTTTTACCAGTAAAATATATGTGTTGCAATCTGAATTTGGATCGCTTAAAAGAGTGGGCTTGACTGTTATGAGGGTGAATGCGAGATTTGCAGATGATTTGAAGAACTAGATGGTTTGTGTCTCACGAGCTTATGAAGGATTTAGTTAAATCTCACTATGGTATTATGGCAGTAATAAAGTATGGGCATTGTGAGTTTTTGTATGTTTTGACCTATGGCTTTGAGCTAAGTGGGGGAATTTGCTATTGATAAGTTGATTGCGCGGCTAAATATCGTATCAGTTTCAGTTTTAGATATGCTGGCGAATCAGATGTGACTTGTAGAGGCTGAGATCGAGGATGACTCGAGTAAAGGAAATTTTGAATAATGGTGTGTTATGCTTTATGGGTATATGAGAAATCGTTGAATGAATTAGTTGTTGTCGTAAGGGATGTAACGAGTATGGAGTAGGGTATCACTCGGCTACTTAGAAGGACGGGTTACTTCCTTAGGTGTTGCTTGTACTAATGAGGCACATATCGTTCGGTTCATTTGATCAGTCTAATTGAGGTTTGAGTAGAGTGGATAACTCTCGAGAATGGTTCTAATGGATTCAAGATTTATATGTAAATATTAGGGATCTTCAAGATGTGTAATTGGCTAGAAATCGAGGTTTTCATTGGATGGTGTCAAGACTTGTGGAATTCTTCATCATTATGAATTCTACATATCAGTATTAGGAAGGTGAAGTTAATGGCTTTAGATTCACAGGAAGTCTCTTCAGGGTAAGCATTTTGAATATGGTGCTTTTGGGGATATTTAAGAGAGTATTCGGCGATAGATGGTGTGTTTTATGCTTGGGCCTCATATGATGAGTTTGTGTTGAGGATTTCGGTAGTATGGCGAGGGTAAAATATCAATTTGAAGGTAATTCAGAAGGAACTTGGATAAATAGGCAGCTTGGTAGTAGGTCGGATTGACATAGTAGGGGATATGATTAGTTCTTTGGGTGCTTATGAGGTAATGAGTTTCTATAGATGTCTCGTGGCAATGCTTTCGGGTTTTTGGTGACCTTCATATCTTGGATGAGCTAGAAGGATTCAGTACTGACGGGTTGGTTTTGTGCAAATGGGATTTGGAGAGTTCATGATAGTTTTCTACCACAGTTAGAGATGTATATTTCCTACTAGCTTGAGGAGCATGTGATGTATATCAATTTTCTTCTAGATTGGATCAATGGAAAGTTCTTAGCTAGTTGGGTACATAGTTGCTTGTCGATCGGAAGGGATTACAAAGTTCTCATATTTGTCATAGGATGACATGGTATATGCGGTATGTTGTGTAGGGTTGGGAGTTGCATGTGTAAGGTCACGGTTCAGTTATAAAAGGAAGGTCATAAATTCTTAGGCAACAGGGGCAATTTCAGATGACTAGGTAAATGATATTATGAATTGGTGCGGCTTGATAAGGTTAAACATTTCAGAAAGGGCAATGTATTTGAGTTAAGGGTACTTCCTTGGTATTGCGACACTCTCTTGTTGGATCGACTGTTGATATTTGAGTTTGCATGGTGGCACAGAAGAATTTTAGGAGTATCACTCGTGGAATGATCGAGTGTTAGAGGTGCGTTAGATGTACGGGCAGTGGAGTTAGGATCGATATGGTGATTTGTGTGCTTTATGGATTTGTAGACTGGGAGTTCTTATAAACATGTTATGTCGTGGTTGTGGACCGCATGTATCGGCCTTGTGTGGTGACTATCAGGGGTTTGGGGACCCGAGTGGATCCTTTGCTGCTTAGTATGGTGGATTTTGATATGATATCGCGTATGGAGTGGTTGTCTCCGTGTCGTGTTATTCTAGACTGTTGCGCTAAGACGACGACGTTGGCTATGCCAGGGATGCCACGAATTGAGTGGCGAGGTTTGATGGATTATGTTCTCAATAGGGTAATTTCATTTTTGAAGACCTAGCGGATGGTTGGGAAGGGTTGTCTTTCTTATTTGGCCTTTGTGAGGGATGTCAGTGCAAAGACTCCTACATTGATTCAATTCCGGTGGTGAGGGATTTTCCGAATGTGTTTTTTGCTGTCAGGCATGCCGTTGGACAGGGTTGTTGATTTCAGTATTGATTTGGTGCCGGACACCGTATCGTATGGCACCGGCGAAGTTAAAAGAGTTGAGGGAGAAGCTTTAGGGACTCTCTGATAAGAGGTTCATGAGTAGGCCAATATGGATGTGTGTTCTATATCGAGCCGGATTGTTAACTCCGAATTGCTATTGTTTAGGGAGGTGTCGTTCGAGCTTATTCGTGTTCAGCAATGATCCATAAATTACTCTTTTGTGCTACAAGGATTCTATTTGGGGATTTATATAGGAATTTGAGTGAGACAAATATTTGGGTGTTGCGTGACTGATTGCGCATTGGATATGTTCTCTCGGGATGGTATGTCATTGTGTTATTTACTTCTCTATGGTTATGGTGATTCACTTTTGGTACTAGACATCAAATTGCGCGTGGTAGTTGATTTTAGGCATGGTGAATTGAGCTTCTTCATGCGGACCAATGTTTGGATAGGGTCGCGCATTGCAGCGAAGTTATGTAGAGGTATGGTCCTTCGGGTTAGATTCGCGTGTTCTAGTTCTACAGTGTGTGATGAGTTCTTAGCGTCGTGTTGTGGTGGTACTGGTAAGCTGGCGGTACAGCTTTCTCATTTGAGTCACTTTCCATGATTTGAGGACATGTGGACTATTGCTTATTAGTGCATGGGTTGCACGGGTCGTGGCTTGAGATTATATCGATGTGTCATGTCACTAGAGTAGACGTATTGGATGAGATGAGGTCATTGGGATCTTGAATGAATACTATCGGATTCGATTTCAGCATGTGGGAAGGATAATATCGAGATTTGGCTTAGAAAATTTACTATGGTCCTTGCCAGAGGAGAGGGAACTCCATGACGGGTTGATTTGAAGAATGGTTATGATTTCTGCATGTTTCTTTCATCATGGGCAGTATACAAAAGTGATGGAATGTGGCTTTGGTTGATTAGAGGTTTATTACCGGTATTGGGTTGTTTGAGCACCTGCTGTGATCAGAAGTTATCGCTACGAGTGGTTGAGTTATGTGGTATATCATGTGATTACATCTTGGGTTACAGATATGGTTTGATACAACTTGTTTAGACTTATACAACGTCTATATGAGAGATTTTGATCTCATAGATAAGTTCGGAAATGAAAATTTGGTTCTAAGGTTCATGGGCTTGGTTGGATTGCGAAATTTCAGTCATGTTGTGTTATCAGACCTATATGGGATAGGGTGACGTGGGATCACCCCCGGGTATATGCATGGTAAGGTTATACAATGATTTGTTGGCTTTTGGAACAACTCTGGGTTCGAGGACGAACGTATGTTTAAGTGGGGGATGAAGTAATGACCCGACCGGTCGTTTTGAGCATTTGCAGCTCGCAAGCTCTTGGGCATGACTAGTCCTGTATGATGTATTATGACTTATGTGAGTCGTTGGTCTTGGTTTTCAGGTTAATCGGAATAGATATGGAAGGATGATTCTCAGCTTGAAGCTTTATATTTGAAAGGTTTGACCAAGTTTTGACTTTTTAGTATTCGATCTCGGATTTGGATAGCTCCATTAGGTTATTTTAGACTTATGAACGTGTTCGAAATGTAATTTGGAGGTCCGTGGTAGAATTAGGCTTGATTTGGCGAAGTTGAAAATTTGGAGTTTCCGGTCGGCAGTGGAAATCTTGATATCGAGATCGGAATGAAATTTTGGAAATTGTAGTAGGTCTGTAATGTCATATGTAACATGTATGCAAAATCTTAGGTCATTCGGAGGTGATTTGATAGGTTTCGGCGTTGTTGATGGAATTTGAGAATTTTTAAGTCCTTAGGCTTGAATCCGAGGGTAATTTGATGTTTTGATATTGTTTTGAGTGTTCCGAAAGTTGGAATAAGTTTGAATGGTGATATGTGAGTTGTTGGTATGTTTGGTTGAGGTCCCGAGGGCCTCGGGATGGTTTTGAGTGGTTAGCGGGAAGTTTGGAACTTGAGTTGTGCGACAAATTTTGTTGTTCCTGTCATTTCCGCACCTGCGGATTGGGGACCGCAGGTGCGAGGCCACAGAAGCGATGAGGAGATCGAAGAGGCAAGTTTGGCCTTCAGGAGAAGAACCGCAAATGCAGTTATTTGGACGCATCTGCGGGACCGCAGGTGCGGTGCCTGGGCGCGGATGCGGTCCTTGCGACTTGAGTGGACACCACAAATGCGGTAATTTTGACCGCAGAAGCGTCCCGCAGGTGCATGAAATGGGCCGCAGGTGCGAAAGTGCTGGGCAGAATGTATAAAAAGGACCCTTCGCGATTTTCAGTCATTTCTTCATCATTTTGTGCGATTTTGGAGCTCCAAGCAGTGATTTCAAGAGGGAATCAATGGGTTTCAGTGAGGTAAGCTACTTGGGTCTTATTTATTGTGTTTGTGATGATTTTTCCACTACCTAATCATGAAATTAGTGGGGAATTTGGGGTGAAGTTAAAGGATTATTACGGCTTGAGTTTTGGAGAATTTTGATTGAGGATTTGAGGGATCATTTAAGGTCGAATTTTGATGATTTTTGTATGTATGGACTCGGGAGTGAAAGGAGTTTCTAGTGTTGTGATTTTTGTTGGATTTCGAGACGTGGGCCTAGGGGCCGGGTTTGAGTAAATTCGGGATTTTGATCTAATTTGATAATTTTTGTATGGGTTTCATTCCTTTAGCGTATATTGATGATAATATATTGATTTTGGTTAGATTCAGAGCATTTGAAGGCCGAATCGAGAGGCAAGGGCATTGCGGGTTAGAGTTTTTGCTTGGTTTAAGGTAAGTAACACTTCCAAATTTGGGTCTGAGGGTTCGAAACCCCAAACTATATGTTCTATGATTACTATTGAGGTGACGCAAATGCCATGTGACGGGTGTGTGGGCGTGCACCGTGATAATTATGGCCTGGATCACTCCATGGCACCGCTTAGTGGCTCTTTCTTGCTGATATCTATATTGTAATTATGTGACTAAGTTGATGAGCTATAAATCATGCTAATTATCATGTTAAGGCTTCACATTGATACTGTTGAGACTCGAGAGGTCGTTTCTCACTGTCATATCATTAGCTTCATTAATATTCCGTACTCAGCCCTGTTCATGCATATTATATCATGCCTCAGTCTCGATTATTGTTATTTGGCATATCATATCATTGGTTTGGGCTAGTATCATGGCATTTTTGAGCTCGTGTGTGTGAGACTGGAGAGTGATGACTGAGTGAGGCCGAAAGCCTGATATTGAGTGATAGTATGGGATCAGCCTGCACGTTGCAGCAGGATATTGATTATGCCTTTGTTGGCTTGTTATAGCGCTTGGGCTAAAAGGAGCCCCTCCGGAGTCTATACACCCCAGTGAGCGCAGATGATATTATTGAGGAATGGATCTTCCCTGGATATGGATTTTGTCCGAAGTACTTGTACCTGGAGATGGATCTTCTCCATAGGGCTGGAATGGCCTTCCTCGGTACTGGATGACTGCTGTGAGTGATGAATATATATTCCAGGATGGATCTTCCCTGGGCTTTGTGAGCCATATACAGTACCGAGTGGTTGTGAGGTTGTTATTGTCATTATCTGGAGATGGATCTTCTCTATAGGCTGGGATAGCCTTCCTTAGTACTGAGTGACTGCTGTCAGAGATGTATATATTCTGGGATGGATCTTCCCTGGGCCGTACGAGCCAGTACTGAGTAGATGAGCATTTGAGATTGTGGGCACATGAGTCACTCATCATGGCCAAAGGTTTTGTTCCAAGGATTTCTCTGTATGGGTTATCTGGCCAAGTTAAACTCTTAAAATAAATTTTAATTTACTGAATCGTGTATTTATGCTCTTAACTTTTGATTACAGTGAATGAAACATAGACAAAATAACTTTTGTACTTGCTTAGCTTTAGATGTTAACTACACTAATATGGCTCTTATTTCTAAATTTTACAGAATAGCTTCTGTAAACTTTATAAAAAGCTTTTAGGAGAACTTCCAAGGTGTTGATTATGAACTTTATCTAACTTTACTTTTTTTTTGCAGGAAAAGGAAAAAGGGAGACTTATGACTTATGCTGAGGTTTTTGAGGACAAACATATGAAAAAGAAAAAGAATGGTACAAGAGAATGGGTCGAGCCGCGTGCTTCTACGACATATGTAAGATCCTAACAACAAGATTCTCTAGTTTCTTCTTTTGGTTTTGCATTGGGATCACACTTAGTCTGATTCTTACAAGATTAGCACAAGAAACTCTTGCGAGTTAAACTTTTAGTAATCAATGAATTTAATATCTTTCAGTTGGTATTTGCTTAAGTATTTCCTTAAAAGTTGTGTGAGATAGCAACTATATCATTGCATGAGCAAATAAGGAATTATAGACATACACATAAATAATTTGTCAAATAGAGATCTCAAAATAGTACTAGAGAAATAGGTAATGGTGGAAGAAAGTATTACCGAAAAGAAATCTAGAGTTATCAGATCGATTTATCAACCAAGTTAATTTTTTTTGTTAGTTCATATGAATACTCATAAAATTGTATATTCGTAGTAAGCAAAGATTAGAAATCACATTTAATACTTATGAGTTGAAAATGTTCCTATGTTTTTCTTCTACGATCTGTTCTAGGGAATTGCGTATAATCCTATATATGTCATGCTTTAATCTTATTTTATATAAGACATCATGCTTCAAGTTCATTTTTTGTTGGAGATCATGTATGTATTGAGTTCTTTTATAATTTGATTACATGACATATATGTTTAATTACTGTCTAATTATTGAAGGTTCACGCTTTATTTGTACTTTGAGCTTAAAGCCCCAACAGACCTTAGAGATTTTTTATGCTTTTCGCTTTTGATAACACGGGTTGTCATGCTAATGTATTTCTTACCCCTCAGTCCCATCCTAGGCTGTCTACTTTTTAGTTCATTCTACCCTAAAAAGTTGTCCCAATTGCATAAATTGCAATTATTTTCCGTCTAATGAGTAATGACTGAAGTTAGTACAAGCTAGAAATATTTATTAGTTCAACTTTGACGCGACATCTGGCAACCAACTTTTTGAATTTTACAGAATTCAAACTATTATTTTAAACATGTATCTATGAGACTCCATATAGTTCACTCAAACATAAGGACGGAGGGAGTCTCTTTTTATGTTTTTCCTCTTGTTTATAGAGTTAATTTTTTGGCTTCTTAGTCTGCATCAATCTCCTTGGGTAGATTATTATCGAATGGGGTTCTTTAAAGCTAAAAGATTTGATTAGACTTTGGAATCCATTGAAGAAAATCATCACTTGTATTGTAAAAAACATTGTTTCCCGCAACCAAGATGTCAAACAATAAAAATGACATATTTGATATAGTTAATGAGTAACAGTCTATCATTTATTTTTTTAGATAAATAATGTCTTCATATGTTCTTTCCATGGGATACAAAATGCAGTATCCCGTCTTCGCAACCATTTTTTCATCCTCAGCCAACATAGCTGGCAAAGAGTTGCTTCTCTATTAGGTTAATAGTTTAATTTTAGAATTTGGAACCTCATCTGAAGTTGATTTAGAAAATATACCCTAATAATTATCATAACAAAATTTCGGGACAAAAATGGAAGCATGTGTAATTAAATTTCGTTACATATCAGATTATGGTGATGATAAGTCTCTGTAGTCTAATTCTCTAAAGCTGCAGCTACCACCGTACTGACTTTTAGAATTGAACCTTCTGTATGGTTAGTGTATTATCTGATTATTCGCGTAAGCTGATTCTCAGAAGCTGCAGTTACCACCACTAGCATAAAACGTGCAGAAAGAGTATTAGAAATGAATTGTTGTTCTTCATTTCCATGGTGCAGAAATGTTATCACCTTGCTTGCAATTAGTAGTAAACAACTACTAATTTCTTCCTAGTCTGCTTCTTCTTTCTGTTAGTATAACATTGGTGCTTCACACTGTTTGTATAACATAATTTAATACTTAACATTTTAATTTCAGGAAGCCTATCAAAACCGTTTGGAGGAATGGCGTCAAAGACAACTCGATTCTGAGGATGGTAGCTCAGCCCAAGTGTCACTCAATGATGTAACTTCAATATGGACACAAGTGGTTGGTGGCGCAAAGAAAGGTAGAATCTACGGTCTTGGATCACAACATTCCATAGGTCATTCTACGACATTATTGTCTGGTGAAGCAAGTTATTCGTAGAATCACGAAGAGGTGGATGCATTACGAAAAGAAGTTGAAGAGTTAAAGGAGGAACTTAAAGAAGATCGCGCAAATTTTAACAAATTGCAGAGTCTAGTGAAAATATTTATGAGTGGACGTCCATTTGATCTTTCGAATGGCGAGGATGACAGGGATAATGAGTTTTAGTTTGTTGTGGTAGTGATGTTTGAAAAATTATTTTATTGTGGTTGGATGTTTAGACTTGGTAATATTTACACTTAACTATGATTGTAATATTTAAGGCTAGATTGAATGGTGCTTGAATGTTTTAACTCTTTTTGGATGTTTTAGTTATAAATATTTATGTTTTCTATAGTTGTTTGCATTTTATGGATTTGATTGGTTGAAAAGGTGGATTAATTATTTCATTAGTTGTTGTATATTTGAATTGGCAGGTGGTGCTGCTTTAAAAGAGCTGATATCTGCCAAAACATTTCCAGTTTTTGGACTGATTTCCGACCACAGTAGCCGCAAAGCTCTTAAAATTTTTCCAGATCCAGGAACATTTGCAACTGCAATTGTGGGAAAATTAAATAGAAAAGTATTATTAAATTAGATCTGTGACCGTAGTAGTGGCAAATTTAAATAAATAAATAGTTTTTAATTAGTTTGCGACTACAGTAGTGGAAAAACTCAAATAAAATAAAAATACTTTATATTATTTGTGATTACTTCGGTGAGAAAGATTAAATATAACTATAATATATATATATATATATATATCATTTGCGACCGAAATAGTGGAAAAGTTAATGTAGAATTAAAATTTTATTTAAATTGTTTGCGACCGCGTCAGTCGGAGAGTTGACAATATTTAATATTCGTCTTTCTATTTTAACTTTGCTACCGCAATAGTCGCAAATTACGGACGAATTCGATCGCAAACTATTTCAGACCAACTATTTTGCGACTATGATTTTTCGGTCTGAATATAGTCGGAAATTAGCATTTTCTGACCGTTTTGCGACCGTTTTGGCAGTCAGAAAATTGCTATTTTCTATTAGTGATTTGTGAAGAAGGATGGGAGTATGCGGATATGCATTGATTACCGCTAGTTGAACAAAGTCACCATTAAGAACAAGTACTCGTTGCCTCTTATTGATGATTTATTTGACCAATTGCAGGGTGCTAAGGTATTTCTAAGATCTACTTGAGACCAGGGTATCATCAGCTGAAGATTTGGGACTCAGATGTCCCAAAGACTGCCTTCCGTACAAGATATGGCCATTATGAGTTCCTGGTGATGTACTTCGGCTTGACTAATGCCCCAACGACGTTTATGGACTTGATGAACATGGTGTTCATGCCTTATATTGATTCCTTTGTTATTGTCTTCATTGACGACATCTTGATATACTCACGTAGCCTGGGGAAGCACGAGCAACATTTGAGGGTAGTATTTCAGACACTACGAGAGCAGAAGTTATATGCCAAGTTCTCCAAGTGTGAGTTTTGGCTTAAGTCAGTAGCATTCTTGGTACATGTTGTATCAGGAGAGGGTATTAAGGTGGGTCCCAAGAAGATTGAGGCAGTTCAGAGTTGGTCACGTCCTACTTCAGTGACTGAGATTAGGAGTGGGGTTAGCAGGTTATTATCGTCTATTTGTGCAGGTTTTTTGTCCATTGCAGCACCTTTGACTAGATTGACCCAGAAGGGTGCCCCTTTCCGTTGGTCCGACGAGTGTGAGGTGAGCTTTCAGAAGCTCAAGATGGTTTTGACCACAACACCAGTTCTAGTGCTGCCTTCCGATTCGGGAATGTATACAATTTATTGCGACGCTTCACGTGTTGGATTGGGATATGTATTTATGCAGGAGGAGCGAGTTATTGCATATGCTTCACGTCAGCAGAAGATTCATGAGAAAAACTACTTAGTGCACGATTTGGAGTTGGTAGTGATTGTTCATGCTCTTAACATTTGGAGGCATTACTTGTATAGGGTGTCCTGTGAGGTTTATATAGACCACCGCAGTTTGCAGCACTTGTTCAAGCAGAGGGATCCTAAATTGAGGCAGGGTAGATGGCTTGAGTTACTGAAAGACTATGACATCACCATTATTTATCATCCGAGCAAGGAAAATGTTATCGCGGTTGCCTTAAGTAGATAAGCAGAGAGTATGGGTAGCTTGACATTCATTTCAGCAGGGGAGAGACCACTAGCTTTGGACATTCAGTCCTTGGCTAACAGACTTGTGAGGCTGGACATTTCAGAGCCCAGCCGGGTCCTTGCGTGTATTGTTGCTCAGTCTTCACTATTGGGGCAAATAAAGGCTCGGCAGTTCGATGATCTACATTTGGCAGTTCTCAGAGAGACGGTACTACAGAGTAGTGCCAAGGAGGTTTTTATTGGCGAGGATGGTGTTCTGCGACTCTAGGGTAACCTATGTGTTCCTAATGTCAATGGCTAGAGGGAGAGGATTATAGAGGAGGCACACAATTCACGGTATTCCATTCACCTCGGTGCTACAAAGATATATCGAGACCCGAAGCAATATTATTGGTGGAGGCGGATGGATAAAGACATAGTTGAGTATGTGGCTAGGTGCTTGAATTTCTAGCAGGTTAAGTATGAGCACCAGAGACCAGGTGGCCTACTTCAGCAGATGCCTATACCTGAGTGGAAATGGGAGCACATTACTATGGACTTCGTAGTTGGGTTGCCGCGGACCTTGCGAAAGTTTGATGCAGTATGGGTCATGGTCGACAGATTGACCAAGTCAGCATACTTTATTCCGGTTGTGACTACTTATACTTCGGAGAAGTTGGCTCAGATCTACATTCGGGAGATAGTTAGATTGCACGGTGTGCCTTTTTTCATCATATCAGATAAAGGTCCTCAATTCACTTCACATTTCTGGAGAGCTGTTTAGAGTGAGTTGGGGACCCGTGTGGAGCTCAGCACAACATTCCATCCTCAGACCGACGGACAGTTGGATCGGACAGTTCAGATTTTGGAGGACATGCTTAGAGCATGTGTGGTTGACTTTGGAGGGCAGTAGGATTAGTTCTTGCCTTTGGCCGAGTTTGCTTATTATAATAGCTATCAGTCTAGCATCGAGATGGCTCCATTTGAGGCTTTATATGGTCGGCCATGTCGTTCTCCTATCGGGTGGTTTGAGCCTGGTGAGGCTAAGTTGTACGATACAGACTTGGTGAAAGATGCCTTGAAAAAGGTAAAGTTGATTCAGGAAAGACTTCGTACAACACAGTCTAGATAGAAGAGTTACACGGATCAAAAGGCACGTGATGTATCATTCATGGTCGGCGAGAAGGTTCTCTTGAAAGTCTTGCCGATGAAGGGTATTATGAGATTCGGGAAGAAGGGCAAGTTGAGCCCAAGGTTTATAGGCTCATTTGAGGTGTTGAGGCGAGTTGGGGAGGTTTCTTAAGACTTGCTCACAAAATTTGGTGCCATTCCGAGTATTGTAAGTATGATTCGACGTATTCGGCGAATTTGGAAAACTTGAAGTTCAAAATTTGATTCAATTTAGTTTTGGGGTATGATTCTTGGTTTCGTTGTTGTTTTTCGCATTTTGAGAATTCGAGAAAGTCCGTATTATGATTACAGACCTATTAATGCCTTTGGACGGGGTCTCGAGTGGCTCGGGTGAGTTTCGGACCCCTCGAAGCTAAATACATGATACGAGATCTGCCCAATTTTGGTTTCCTTCTTCGCGAACATGAAGGAAGCATCGCGTTCTCATAGAAGGGGTTGGGATGTGGGAGGAATGCTCTTCGCGTTCGCAATAGATGCTCCATATTCGCGAAGGTGTGGGCCAGTGACCTCCGCGTTCGCGTGAGGCCTCCCGCGTTCACGTAGAGTAGACTAGCTGGGTCTTGCCAACTTTGTTCTTCGCGTTCGCGTAGGTCAAGCCAAGCTAGACTTCGTGTTCATGTGTTATTTGTCGCGTTCGCGATGAAGGGCCTTCAGAGGGCCTGAGCTAATGGCCTTCATGAACGCGAGGCCTCTGCCGCATTCGCGATTAAGGGGGCAGCTGGACAGTAAGTTTAAAAGTCGGGACTTAAGATTATTTGGGGTCATTTATTGTATCCTTGGGAGATTTGGGAACTTCTAAAGAGGGGATTTCAACCTAGCATTTGTGAGGTAAGTAACTTCTATTTAATGTGAGTTTAATACTTGGTTTTTGGGTAGATTAACACACAAAGATTAGTGAAAATCATAGGATTAGAGTATAACTTAGGGTTTTGATAAAAACAAGATTTAACCACGAAATTTATTATGGAAGGGAGTAAAAATCAAATATTCTTGATCATTAGGTTATGGGTAATAACTTTCTTCGAAAATTTCCGGAATTCGGGCATGTGAGCCCGGGGGGTGAATTTTAGGAATCTTGCAATATGGATTGAGTAATCACTCTAATAGTGGGAATATGAACTTTTGAGCCTATATTGATTAGTTTTTATGTTATTTGGATATTTTCGGATTGTTCGACACCAAATTGAGGGTTTAGGCTTAAGCTTGGACCAGAAAGTAGACCTTGAAGCGAGGTAAATCTCTTTTCTAACCTTGTAAGAGGGAAATTTCTCATAGATGAACTTAATTAATATGGGATTTAATTGTGGGGGGCCTACGTACGCACAAAGTGACAAGAGTCCGTTACGTAGCTACTATTCCTGTTATGTCCGGGTCGTTCTAGGTTTACACCATGTTTTGTAGGTATCGTTATATGATTATAATTGTTAAATTGTATTGATTGAAACTTTGTTGAGAATGTCATGATTTCAAGGATTTTAAGTAAATAATTATTTTTGAAAAGAATTAAGAAAACATTTAAGTTGTATTTATACTTAACCGCATCGCAAGTATATTCCGCGAGCAGCGTGATTATTTCCACTACTCTCATAGGAGCGGGCCGTTCGCCTCGGCATGTTGGTGATTGCATATATATGGTTCGGGTCGTTCGACTCACAGCAACACACAATTTACTTTTATATATGTTGGATCGGGCCGAACATCCTCGGTGGTATTTGTGTGATAATAGAATCAGAACCTCTTATAATTCGTATAATTTACTGCTTGAAAGACCACTAGCTTTAAATGAAGAAAATGCCTAGATTTATTGATTGATGAGAGGATTTTCAGTATTATTTCTTGTTTGAACTTGTTGCTTTCTATGTATATTACGAAATAGAATATTGAACTTCATATTATTATATTTATTGACCCTAGTAAGTGTCAAGTCGACCCCTCGTCACTACTTCTTCGAGATTAGACTGGATACTTACGGGGTACATGTTGTATATGTACTCATACTATGCTTCTGTACTTAATTGTACAAGATCTGAGGCAGGTGCATCTAGCTACCCATCTGGCGCGCACTCTTGATATTTGGCCGAGATTCCACGGTGAGCTGCTCCTTTCCGATGTCGTTCAGCAACATAATGGAGTCTCTCTTTTGATTTTGACTGTCTATTCTATTTCAGGTAGTAGGATATATATATATTCTTTTGTATATTCTACTAGATGCCCACATACTTGTGACGCTAGTTCCTGGTACACACATAATTAAGACTTCATTTGGCCATTTCAGCTTTATATTGCCTAAACTATTCGTTATTATCGAATGTTTTAAATTTAATCTAAGTAAATGTTGGAAATATTTTGGTAACATAAATGAAACTCATTAGTTGACTAATGTTGGCTTGCCTAACCTCGGTGTTGAGTGCCATCGCGACATAAATTGGAAATTGGGTCGTGACAATAATAATCGAATCTACCTAGAAAGTGGCGTGAGAACCTAAATATGTTCCTAACGAAAGTCCAAATAATAAGGCATTTGTGGAGAAGAGATCTTCTTTTATTGATTTAGATAAATGCGATTAACGTTCATGATTTTTTCCCAGTAATTTAGATTTTTTAATTTTTGTTGATAATTCGAACACTTCTATGCATACTATCTATGTAATTTTTAAAAATTTATATTCATTGATATGAAATACACGTGAAACACGCGTACTCTAAGACTAGTTAACGGAAATGGCGGACAACAACTGTATGAATTCTGAATAATACAAAATCATTGGACACGCAACTACTTGTCATGTTAATAGTGACGCGATCAGAATTTGAAATTTATTGGTTCTGAACTTGCCATCAAATTTATAGTGGCGCGAATAATATACTTTTTAATCATATGAAAGTGTCTACAGTGTTTAAGCAGTTTTTATTTTTCAAAATAACTCATAAATTATGAAAGACAACGACATAATATATAACACACCTTTTCCATGAAACTTTTTTTAAATATTGATCCGAACATTCAGGGGCGGAGCCACCATTCTGGCTACGAGTCGGCGAACCTAATAGCTTTGGTTCAAATCCTATATTTGTCTTGAAAAATTCATTAATTAGTTATAAATCAATAATTTAGAACCCAGTAACTTAAAAAGTTTAGAAAACTGAACTCATAAGCTTGAAATTCTAGCTCCACCTCCGCGAACATTTCCTTTACACATACAATTTTGTAGAAAATATTTTGAAAACCAATTCTTCTAAGACCAAAAAGCAGGCTACCTTAGAGCCCAAAGGCTAACGTAAAAGATTGTACGTTTTGATTGATAACGGTGGGTAATCTTGTGATAATTTTTTTTATCATTAATTATTAGTCCCCCTTTTTATTTTGCGTGACTAAGAAATGCATTCTCTGTTTCTTCCGTTTTGGCATTTGTATTTGTCATCAAACCGCAGAACAAGAATAACCTTGGAGTAAATAAGAATTAGTGAGGACAGGACAATCTATTCCTAGAAGTAAAAACCTTATAGGTAATATATAACCAAAAGAAAAAGATAAAAGGAAAACTAGTCTTGAACGTATGATAAGAAAATATATTGAAATTAATACGAAGATGCAAAAACTTAACCAATATAAGTCGTACGTTATAGTGAAACAATAGGATAAATTTTTAATCTAATATTCTATCAATAAAATATATATAATTTTTAAAAATGTGATAGCTGTTGGTGGTGATGGCCAGCAGGTGAATGTCGACTAGAGGTGGTGGTTGGTGGTAATTTTGGTTGATGATGGTGGTTTAGGGTAGTAGCTAGTGGTGATTGATAGTGGTGACGATTATGATTGAGGATGGTGGTGGTGGGTGGTAATAGTTAATAATGGGGGTGGTGGTATAGTAGTTGTGATTGAGGAAGGTGGTGGTGGGTGGTGGTAGGTTATAATGATGGGCAGTGCCGACTGTGCTTGTTGATGGTGATGTGCTAGTTAGTTGTAGTAGTTGAGGTGCAGGGGCGGATCTAGAGTATAATATATGGGTTCCCGGGAACTCAGTAACTTTTGCATAGACCCTGTATTTTTGTTAAAAAATTTATTAAATATCTATAAATATCTGTTTGTGAACTCAGTTATTATTGTATATTAATTTGATTGCGATAGGAATCCATAAACTTAAAATCTTGGATCCGCCTCTATTGAGGTGGATGAGTGTTGATTGTGGTTGAGAATAATGATAGTGGTGGTCATGTACATTTAGCCTTAATAAGTAGCTCTTATCAAAAATGCTTTTAATCTTGTATTTGAAGTTCTTGAAGTTCGTTACCTTTTGTGGCTCTGTGATCATGTACACTACTTCATGATGGGAATTGAAGGTAAAATGCTGTTTTGTTTCTGTTATTGGGGCGGAAAGAATAAGGCGCTTCCAGATGGATCCACCTCGTATGTGGGAGGTATTACTGATTAGATTATTGTGAAGACAATGATTTTGTGAATGCAGTTTTTGACCGATTAGGCAATGATCCTTCTGATAAGGTCTTGCAGTTTACAGTGAAGTTTGATAGGGCCCAATTGATACGGCTAAGAGACCAAGAAGGTGTCGATATTCTGTTACAATTTAATGATGGTTTTGCCCACGTTTATGCGTCAAGTTCAGAGAAAGAGTCTAATTATGCAGTTGCTCCTAATATGGATACCACTAGGTAATGGCTGTTTTATACTGGTCCACATGATGTTTATTATGGTAAATTTTTTGACTACCTAGAGTTTGATTGTAACTAATGTTGTATATTTTGTCACAGGGTTTCAACCACTGAGGTTGAAGCAGTCTCTCTCGGAAGTGTCGAGGAAGAACAAGTTAGTGCTGATACTCCTACTCCAACTCCTGCACCTTCCCACCAATGAATCACCGATGGAACTCCAGGCATTACTGCCAACTGGAGTGAATTACTTGTTGGGGAAGGTCAAGCTTTTGAGAATGCAGATGTTTTTAGGCTTGCATTTTTCATCGCGAATAAATTTCACTACAGAATTTCCCCAACAGCTTTTAGGCTTGTTGGGGAAGTGTGAAGCGGAGGATAAGGGAGGCAATTGATGAGAAGTCAGGTGAATCCTATAAACTGATTCCCAATCACTCAATTGAGGCAATGTCCGGAACTATTGCTACATGGCCATGCACTGAGGAAAACAGTTTCAAGCGGCTTTTCGTGTCATATGACTGCTCTATACGTGGCTTTCATGTTGGATGTAGACCTTTGATCTTTATTGACGTCTACATCTTGAATGGGCTGCACAAATGCTCCTTTGTAGTTGCTTCTGCTTTAGATACAGACGATGACATGTATCCTCCATCTTATGGCGTTCTCATGTCGAGAAATAAGGAAGATATTATATTGCTTATGGAATAGCTAAAGCTTGGTGTGCAGAATCGCGAGGTCGTCATAGTTTATAGCACAAGTCTCCCTTTTCTCTTGAGGCAAGATCTGTTCTTTCCGCAGAGAATTGTATGATTGGGTAATAGCTAGCCAGCCGGAGCGTTGGTCTAATGCCTTGTTCAGGAAACCTCGGTGCGATCAACTGAATTTTGAGATTTACCAGATTTAATTGATGAATGACAGATAATCTACTGCAACAATCTATCTTCTTCACGAGTAATTGCTATTTCCTAGAAATTGGAATTTTTTTTCTTCAGGTGTGTGTATATACATATTATACATCCGCCAAATATTTTTTTGTTTAAGAGATTAAGTGAGCGGCTATTTGTACTAATTTTTTAAATCCAATTAGCTACGGTATTCGGACCTTTGGTACTAATTCTTGGCCCATTAAACACATCTTGAGCCATTAGGCAACTTCTATTTTGATAAAAAAAAAAAAAAAAAAAAAAAAAAAGTTGAACATTTCTAGAAATTTCAACAAGTTTGCAAAGGCATCCTAAGGGATTTTGGGTTAAATGCTCATATTCCGAAGTTATATGCTTGAACTTTAGAGGAATTTTTATCGATTGAGTTAATACCATAAGGATATTTAAGCCAATTAATCATAGTGATCTCACATATCAAAGATAGTCTTAACAGGTTAACATTTAGCTTTCCATTGAAATTACTTTATGTAATTAATAAAAAGATAAAAATAACTTCATAAATTTGTGAACTGGCTTTGTAGTCGAATTCAATTAGTCAACTAATAATTAGGATGATTATAAAAAGCAAGGATATAATTTGAGACCATGAACTCGACTAATAATCTCTGTGCAACAAACTATCAACAAATGAATATAAATCTATAGTTTGAGTCTTAAACGAACACTCATGTCTTTATTCATAGGGTAATGAGCACTTTAAGAAACATCATAATATATTATGAAAGAAAAGGCGTATATTTCCATCTCCAGCAACTTATTAGGCTTGAAACCTGCAATGTTAAAAAATAATTAAGAATTAAAGTTAAAATGGTTAGATTATAAAACATCCATAATCAAAAGAATCTGCATAGAGATCAAGTTGAATACTTGTACACACTAATATCTTTTTTTGTGCCTTTTCTTTATCGTAATAATTCTGTATACCAATTCTTCAATCATCCTGGCTGGATTTTGAGTTGATAGCATGATGTATATTATGGACAGTCCAATAATTAGTCCACACCCGTAACCCATGAGAACCGCGTGCCAACTTATTATTGCTGAATCTTCTCCTTCTCCTTGATCTTGGACAACTGGCGTTGTCGCTTGTGCTACCCCATCATCATCACGACAATCTTTTGAGACTGGAAATCCACGTAATCCATCATTTTGTTGATATGAACTGTAGTCAAATGTATCAAATTGTTGTCCTTTAGGAATGCATCCAACAAGATGATTGTGAGAGAGATTTAAGACTGCAAGTGATGTGAGAGATGCCAGTTGTTGTGGAATTCCTCCGTCGATTTTGTTAAATGAGAGATCTAATGACTCAAGTACAGATAAATGTTGCAGTGTCGTTGGTATAAGACCTTCCAAGCAATTATGAGATAAGTTCAATACACGAAGTGCGATGAGATCTCCAATGCTACTTGGAATATAACCTTCAAATCTATTCTCTGAGAGGTTGATAATCATGTTTTCAATCAAAACTCGATGAAATTTAAGATCTAATCCCTTTACTATAATTGACAGAGATACATCATAATTATAATTAAGAAGATATTCATCTCCTATGTACCTTCCGGTTCTCATGTTCTCATCAATTATTTTCATGGCTTCGAAATTCTCAAAAAGACTTGCTGGTAAATTCCCACTAAATCCATTGGATGAGAGATCCATAATTTGAAGTTCTTTAAATAAGCTTATATTCCTTGAATCTTTGATGGGACCATGCAACTTATTTGATCTCAAGCTTAAAATCTTCAAATTTGGTAGAGTTCCCAACCACTGTGGATATGTGTCGTTCAACTCATTGTTACCTAAATCAAGAACTTCCAAATGCTTGCAATTGATTAAGGATTGTGGGATTTTTCCCTCCAACTTATTCCTATGCAATCTAAAGCTTTTGAGTTGGCTACCAATAGTAAAATTTGTTGGAATTGTCCCACTGAGGTTATTGTTGCTTATATCCAAAACCCTAACAAATTCACTCATCTCACCTAGACATTGTGGAATCGTTCCCTTCAAATTATTACTTCTCAAATCTAGATTTCTCAGTGATGTTAGATTGCAAATACTTGAAGCAATCTGTCCATTGAGATTATTATGCGGAAGGAGAAGAAATTCCAGGCTCTTCTGGTTTAGAAGTAACTTTGGAATAGGACCGTGCAGCTGATTGTGTCCTAGTGAAATCTGGAACAGATTCTTCGACTTTAACTCCTCAATTTGGCCACTGAAGTTGTTATGGCTCAAGTCTAAGTTAGATAACAATGGAAGGCAAAATATCCAGGACGGTATCCTCCCATTCAAGTGGTTTGATGACAATAGGAGTAACTCCAAATTTTGTAGTCCGCTTACATTGGAGGGAATTGGACCAGTTAGGAAATTCGACAAAAAATGTAGGACTTCAAGTTGCGTCCAGCTTCTATTAAAGGATAAGAACTCAAGTTGGTCATTGAAGTTGTTATTCTGAAGCCATAACTCCTTGATATTTCCAAATCTGAAGAAGTTGGAAATTGGTCCTTCAAGATAGTTATGTGAAAGGTCCAAATGCTCTATGTGGGTGAGATTCCATAAAGGTTTAAGAATAGGCCCCGAGAGATTAGAAGAAGTCATCTGCAGTTCGCGGAGTGAAGTTAAATAATTAAATGATTCAGGTATATCACCGGTAAAATTCAAACTATTGAGATGTAACTTCGTGAGAGATGTACTGCTATTCCATTTGGCCGTGGGAAATCCAACTGTGAGCTGGGAATTATAAGATAACTCAAGAGATTTCAAGTTGGGAAGGTGAAAAACTCTTTCAGGCAATGTCCCATATAATTGCGTGTATGGAAGTCGTAGAGTTGTTAAATAAGAAGAGAAATTTAGAGGAAAGGTTGAAGAGATGTTGATAGAGGCTAGCTCAAGCTCTCTTAATTGGGTCAAGTTCTTAAGGAGCAATTCAAAATTGTGAGTTCCAAGTCTAAGCTCATATTCGTTATTGATACGAAGAACATATAACTTAGAAAGATAAGAGATTTCAGAAGGAATTTGACCTGAAAAACTTGAACTTGATAGATCAAGATGCGTCAAGCTAGAAAATTCACCAAATCTAGGTGAAATGAGGGAGCCGGAGAAATCATTACCAGATAAATCAAGCCTTTTGAGATTAGATAGTCGGAAAAGGCTACTATTGGAATAAAGCTTGCCTTGAAGTTGGCTACAACTGAGGTCAAGCTCAATCACTTTTCCTGTCATTTCATCACAATGAACTCCACCCCATGAGCAGCAATCTGTGCTCCTATTCCATGATATTGTGTTTGGATAAGAATAACTACAAGCAGCAAAAGCATTTGTAGTAAACATCTGCTTGCATTGTAGAAGAGCAAGGGCCTGATCTTTGGGGCACAAATGAGATGAGGATAAGGAGAAAGCAAGTTGACAGAGAAAGGCATATAGCATAAACAATGATAGTTTTCTAATGGCCATTTCTGCACTAAAAAAATCTAAACTAAGTATTTGGTAGAGAAGAAATCAAGAAACCTTAGCTCTGTTCCTCTATTCAATATATAACACAAATTAAGCCAGGAAATCAAGAAATCTTTGCTACTGTTGCTTTGCAGTAATCAATTCCAGGAAGCTCACCTAGTTATTTTCAGTCAATTTAGACAAAGAGTTAGGCTTTAAGAGTATTAACTGGTGTAGGGACCATGACAAAAACATTTCAAGTCAAAATTTCAAATAACTTGAGTTACTAGGATTTTAAAGGATTTACTAATACATATATGAGCTTTAATTGAGTAAAGAATTATTGAATTCGTCCGATCCCATAGCTAATATTGTAGCTCTGCCAGGCCATGTGAATTAATGGTCGTCAAGACAAGAAAACAAAACAAATGGACGCCGATATTGGTTCTTCTGAATTTCGAATTAATACACCACAATGACACAGCTGCCACTAGCAATAATCCATTAACACAGCTAGCTAAGTCCATGGCCCCCTAAGTCAACATTACTTCGACGACTCGGACTAGCTGCAGCCTTAATTTCTTATCTACCATTTTGATGTTTCAAATCCTGTTGACAATTAATGATTCATTACAGGCTTGTTACATCAATCTTTCTTCTGTTTATTTTTCTTCGCTACAGTTAGAATTGATAACTTAATTTGTTTTCTACCTAGTACATTTTTGTTTGGAAATGCACAGAGAAAGAAGATTTAGGACGGTATTACTGCAAAATTGATACTAGTTCATATAACTTCCCGCCGCGGTGCCACCTGGTTGAAGTTTTGAGTTTGAGTTTCATCCTCATCGTTATTCAATTATTGAAAACAAGTTTCACGTGCTTAATTAATAAAAAAAATCAGACAAACACAACGTGGAGAGAATATAATTAAGTAAATACTAAAAAATGTGATCTTTCTAACCATTTATGTTTCAAATGAGATAATAACACAGTTCAATCCAAACTGATAAAAAACGACTACTCAGCTGCGAGCTTATTTATTGGTCAGTGGGAACTAATCAGGGAAATTAAAAGTTAGCTTCTTATTTCTGGAAATAAATTTAGAATGGACCTGTGATTGTCCTATTTTCTTGTGGGGTTGAATGTAAATTCTAGATATGTTGGATTTCTCTGATATTTTGGGGAAAATTGAGAGGGCACTAACAGTGAAAGAATGAAAAAGGAGCTGATGTAGATTATATTTTTTTCACTGTGTCTTTTCATTCACTACCATTGCTTGTATATACATCTACTTCCTATACATATATAAAGTGTATGTATAATATTCCTAGACAAGGTATATTGTTTACTATGTGATCCCATACTTACTTTAGTGTATTTGCACTAATACAAATGTGAGCATGTGCTCACTCATGTGCTTGGCACTTAACAAATGAATGGCCCAGATGAGTTAGAGACTCTTTTAATCTAACGGTCAAGGTTAGACAGGCAATTGTGTTTGGTCTGTTTGGATGCTTCTTTTTCTTCTGGGACAACAGAGCTGCTTCGATGCTTCTTCTTCTTCTGTCATCTGCTTCGATGCTTCTTCTTCTTCTGTCATCTGCTTCGATGCTTCTTCTTCTTCTGTTTCAACATCCCCCCTCAAGGTGGAGGGGAGAGAATGGACCCCCAGCTTGGATAAAATGTTCCGATGAGAACCCCCAGATAAGGGTTTGGTAAATAGATCGGCGAGCTGAGATTCGGACGGAACAAAAGAGAGGGATATCAAACCGGACAGAAATTGTTGACGAACGAATTGACAATCCAACTCCACATANAGGCTCAAACTTCCCTCTGTTGTTAGACAAAGTTGAGACATAGCACAAACAACCAAAGCTCTTGAGAGATTCATAGCTAGGTTGTGTACCAAGCAATACCTCATAGGGTGTTAATCCATTTAGAACCTTAGAGGGGATTCTATTGATCAGATATGTAGCTGTCAACACACATTCTCCCCAGTATTGGAGAGGCACCTTAGAGTGAAATAAAAGTGCCCTTGCTACTTCCAAAAGATGTCTATGCTTCCTCTCAACTACTCCATTCTGTTGAGGGGTATAAACACAAGAGGTTTCATGTATAATCCCTTCTGATTCAAGAAAACTTGCCTCTAGTGACCCTTTTCCTAGTTCCATGGCATTATCAGATCNCTCCATTCTGTTGAGGGGTAGAAACACAAGAGGTTTCATGTATAATCCCTTCTGATTCAAGAAAACTTGCTTCTAGTGAACCTTTTCCTAGTTCCATGGCATTATCAGACCTGATCTTCTTAATTTTCAAGTTAAACTGTCTCTCTGTCATGCACATAAATGATTTCAAGACTGAAAAAGCATTCCCCTTAGAACTTAAGAGAAAAGTCCAAGTGGCCCTACTATAGTCATCCACAATAGTCAAGAAATACCTATAACCATTATAAGTCACAGTCTTGAATGGCCCCCATGTGTCAATATGAATCAAATCAAAAATAGCAGAACTCTTAATATGACTCAAGGGGAAAGGCAGTCTGGTTTGCCTAGCTTGAGGGCAGATGTGACACACACAATCAAACTTAGAGGGAAATTTAATAAAATGCAGATTTCTCATTACTGAAAAGGGCAAATGCCCTAGCCTAACATGCCATTGCCTTACAGTAGCAGTAGCAATAGCAGGTAAAGGTACTGAAAAGGAAACAGGGGTAGAAATGACACTAGAATTTCTTCCTTTTGGAATGGAAACTACATTTTTTCTAAGAAGAGAAACAGACTCTTTACTAGCTGGCTGAAACAGGTACAATCCATCTCTAACTTCACCAAAAACTTGTCTCTTCCCCACTAAAGGGACCTGCAACATACACCCATTAGAAGTTAGATTCAAAGAACAACTGAATTGAAGACATAACTTATGAACAGATAATAAGTTATACTTGAAAGAAGGTACATGAAGCACTCTATGAAGAACCATATCAAGCTGAATAGACACACTTCCTATATGTGTAACACATAACCGGAATGAATTAGGTAAGCTAATTTGCAAAGGTGCAGGAAGAGGAGTAAGAGATAGGAAAGAGCTAGCATCAAAACACATATGTTTAGAGACCCCTGAGTCAATTATCCATGTTTTAGTGTTGAAAACAGCAAGACAAGTTCCTGTGTATTGGAGTATGGTACCAGCTACAACATTAGCATTGATTTCTGATGTTGTTGCTGCTGCACTTTCAATCTGGACTTGCTTGATTATTTTTACTAATTCTGACACTTGCTCCTTACTGAAAAACTGGTTCTGACTGCTGATGTTTCCTTCACTACTTGTTTCCTGTGTTGTCACCACTGCATTTCCCTTTATAGCAGGCTGATAATTTGTTGATTTTGTGAATTGAAAGTCATCTGGGAATCCTATTAGTCTGTAGCAATCTTCCCTTACATGCCCTGTTCTCATACAATGACCACAACTCACATTAGGATTGTATTTCGCCTTCCTTTTGAACTTTTGTTGCATGTTCTGAAAGTTCCCCTGTTTCTGAGGAGTTCCCCATGATTTCTGAATATTGTTTCTTTGATTAAACTTCCCTTGAGCTCCTACCATAAAAGATGCACCATCTGTTGGATATTGTGGGCTAACAAACATTTCCCTCTGACTTTCATCTTGCAGGAGGATGGAATAGGCATGATCCATACTTGGAAGAGGGCTTATCATGAGAATATTGCCTCTTGCAGGTGCATACACATCATTCAGTCCCATTAGAAATTGGATGACTCTCTGATCCTCCAGGAACTTGGCTACTTTCTTCTTCCCTTCACACACACAGGTACAAGTGCACCTTAAATGTGAGTTCAGGGAATCTAACTCATCCCATAATTTTTTCAGAGTTGTGAAGTATGCTGCAATATTGCTATTTCCCTGAACTGTCTTAGCAACTTCCTTTTGTAGGTGATAGAGTTTGGCTCCATTGGATTGTCCAAACCTATGCTCAAGACTACTCCAAAGTTCTTTTGCAGATTTGGAATAGATTACACTGTCTCCTATCTCCNTATATTTTTCACTGTGTCTTTTCATTCACTACCATTGCTTGTATATACATCTACTTCCTATACATATATAAAGTGTATGTATAATATTCCTAGACAAGGTATATTGTTTACTATGTGATCCCATACTTACTTTAGTGTATTTGCACTAATACAAATGTGAGCATGTGCTCACTCATGTGCTTGGCACTTAACAAATGAATGGCCCAGATGAGTTAGAGACTCTTTTAATCTAACGGTCAAAGTTAGACAGGCAATTGTGTTTGGTCTGTTTGGATGCTTCTTTTTCTTCTGGGACAACAGAGCTGCTTCGATGCTTCTTCTTCTTCTGTCATCTGCTTCGATGCTTCTTCTTCTTCTGTCATCTGCTTCGATGCTTCTTCTTCTTCTGTCATCTGCTTCGATGCTTCTTCTTCTTCTTCTGTTTCAACAAACAGAGTGGATAACGAACGGAACTTATATATCGTTTTCGTATAATACTAGCATGTCCACAGAGTAGCATATTCGCGCCTTTATTTATCACACATGGGGCATACTTCATTACTTTGCTGGGTATAACAAAGTGACAGAGCCAAAATTTTCATTAAAAGAGTTAAAAAAGAAAAAAAGTTGAAACATTAGAATGAACGGTAGATATTACGAATTGAACCAATGACCTCACAAAGGTCTTGAACCCCCGGATTACTAAGCTATGTTTTTGGGCTGTGTCAAATGAGTTCAAAACATAATATATAAAGGTAAAAAATAAATTTTACCTTATATATACCGTATAGTTTTATAACCAAGTGCCCCTGGGTATAGCTGGCTGGCTGGCTTTTGAAGCTAATAAAGCAAAAGTGGCTGCTTCACTGTTTTATCACTCAAAAGCAGCATTTGCCAATACAGTCGAGGGATTTAGTTAGCTACAATAAAGTCATGCAAACGTGATACTCTGTCCAGTTAATTTCATAGCACATTGGATCCTTTTACTGTAGGGTATTCTAATTTATCTAGTAAAAAAAAGACGTGTAAAATCTAAAATTGGTCCCTTTTCTCTCGCAAGTGGTACAGAAAATGTGGATTACAATAGCTAAAGCGTCAGTCTGTCTTATTGTTGGCATTGCATTTTTGGAGTCTGGATTG